AGTGATGAGAAACAGATGGAAAATAAGACAAAAGAATTCACAACTCATGTTAGACTGAATTGAATTCCTTTAATTTCACACAATGAATAACATATGAATAGGATTAACTTTTTTTTTTCCTTTTTTTTTTTTAGTTAAGTGCTCTATACTGTGCTAACCTGATTTGGTAGCGAAAAGACTGAGCTTTGTTTTAGAAAAAAATGTTTAAAAACCAACATCTAAGATCATGAAGGAGCATGACATTAAAGCATGCCAGATGTATCTAAGCCTCAAAGAACATCAAGTCCATATCCATTTTTAAATGTACAAAAATGCTTCATGAATAAAAACTGTTACAAAAAGAACATTTCAAACAATGTACAAGTTTTTTTTTGTCTTGCCTCTATATTCAATAAAATACAAATACATTTTTTTGCTCTAAAATATGTTTACATACAATCAAAGTAGAACATGCAAATTACACTTTAAAAAAGGCTTTTAAAAACCACTTATGAATACAAACTAAAAATTAGCCAGCACGACTTATAGAACAATCTTGTGCCCCATTCGTTTGATTTTTTTTTTTAATTTTTTTTTGAAATACAGTATATACATATTTAACACTTCATGTGCATTTATTATTTAAGAAATAGCTTAAAAAAATAAAGAAAAAGAAAAGTAAAACAAACCAACATGGGATTGAACAGCTCCCCCATGTTGTCCAATTGGCAGCTCTTTTTATGTTTTTACAGTTTTTTTCTTTTTCTTTTTTTTTTTTCTATTTTTTTTTCTATGTAGTGTTTTATACAGCCTAGGCAGGCATCTTAAGGAGATCTCAAATACATGTCCTTTGTTAAGATGTGCTTCTAATTTTCTCAGAACTGCTGCACCCCAGTTTTTGGATGATGTAGAAGGAAGAGGCATTGCAAAGGCATGATGTTCGTTCTCTCAATTCAGAAAACCATCCTGTTTGTATTTTCCTTTTTTCTATCTCTATTATTATTATTATTGTTTTTCCTTCAGGATACTATTAAAATGCACTGTTTAAGTGCAGTCCTGAATCTGGGCCTGTGAAAATAAGTGTTGGGTAAACTTTTGTGTATGGAAGGGTGAATACTTGTCATATTGTTGTAGTGCTCAGAAGCCCTAGTAATGAATCAGCACCTTGTTGGACCAGATGCTACCAAAAAATGTAAGAACACAAATCAAATCAATCTACATGGATGGTCTAAAGAATTGATGTCCAGTGAAAAGGCATGGGCTATGCTATATGATGACACCTGAGTAGCTGTTGTCACATGCTTAATTTTTTTCTTTTTCTTTTTTTTTTTGGCAGTAACCCAAAAACATGCATGGTGCTTCACAGGAAATTTAATAGTGAAGGGCTCAACAAATTGTCAGTACAAAACTCTTGGAGACACAAGTGATCATTTATTTCTTTCTCTCTTTTGTCCTTTTTCTTGGCTTTACTCTGGTTGATAAATATAGGGCCCACAGAGAGGATGCAAATTCATGGCACCATTTCACATAGCTGACAGCCATGTTATTTTTTTGTGTGTTTTTATTTAAGCATGCTAAAATGTGTTAATCTGTGACATGATGGAGGTCTTTGAAAGGCTCTTTTGGATCTTAACAAGCAAAAGGGCTTTCGCCATAGTTTCATACACTCCTTGGAAATGTGCAGAGAAAATTTAGAGAGTTCCTTAGTAAAACTTCCTAGTTGTAAGGGAAGAAAAAATCAGAAAGCTCATTACTGGAATATCGTTGGGTAATAAACTGCAGGAGTGGGATTTTAGCCTTAAGCCCTAAAACTAAATCCTTTATGATCTGCATGTAGTACATCGCCTTATGATATTATTCTGTCAGCAACTTGCTTATCATATTTGTAGACTATGCAACATGCAGAACACAAATTATGAGTGCCATCTAACAGTATTTCCAGCCTGCTTTCATACAAATTAACAAACTAATCTTGCTGTCAGCCAGGCCTGGCTGCACAGGGCTGTTATTTGAATGAACAGTCAAGACTGTATTGTGGCACTGTGATCTCCCAAAACATCCTCTCTGTGAATAATAAATTTTGGGCATCTGGGCTACGATACATCTTGTATGTATAGCTTGCAGCTACCAAGTCTTGTACCCTTAGCCTTTGTTATTTTTAGGACCAAAAGTGCCTTTACAATTTTTTTTTCTGCCTTACTTGAAGTGCTCAGTGAAGAGAATATGGGGTAGTTCTTTCCACAAGTAGATGCTCTCCTTAAGTGTTTTGCCTCTAGCAGCATCTTGGATAGTAGTATTTGTAAGGTTAATAGCGTTTTCATAGAATCATGTTATCATTCAGGTTGGAAAAGACCTTTAAGACCATCTTCCTCCAGCAGTGCCCTGACGGTACTGGATCTGTTGCTGAGGACCCCACATTATTCAGTAATCCCCAATGGTGGGGTTATGCCCAGAGTCAGCCCAAATCCAGTCCTTATTGTCACCCTGTAAGGTTTGATGCATCTTGAAACCACATGAGGCATTCAACGACAGAATTTGGTTCTTTCAGATCTTTGCTCTACTTGCTACATGTTGAAATGTCCTTCAATGCTAACAATCACTGACAATGAAACTAAGGATAGATGGCTTAGTTTCAGGTTATAGGCTACCTGTAATACCAAACACATTTTCTTTTTTAAGAGACACCATCAACTACTTTCAGGCCCGAGGGAAAGACGTTAAAAAAAGTTTCTGAATCAACTAAACCTCAGTCTGATGCTTTTTAAGGCAGAAGGGAAGAGCTGGAAGAGGCATAAGCATTTTTTCTTCAGGCCTATATTTTCAGTCAGTAACACTGTGCTGATTCAAGAGAATTGAAAAGCAAAGTTGGTTGTAACAGAAGGAGCAACCGGTCAGTTTATTTCTAAGCTGCATTAATTGGAAAACAAAAAGCGTGAATGAGCATGATGAATGCTGCAAAACAAATAGGAAACAAACTTCTGTGATCCATCTTATCAGTCGTAAGGAGAAAGGATCTCAAGAATTGTTCCAGCCTCAAAAAAAAAAAAACCAAAAACCCTCTCCCAGCCCCCCAGCCCCAGTCCAAACACCAAATGCATTCAGTTTTAATAAGCTAAGGTGCTACCACAGAAGAAAAATCAGTCTCTAAAAATAATGAGTTATATGTTTACAGTGTCCCTTTAACACTATAGTCTTGATATGATTTTTGTAAATAAATAACAGAATAGAAAGTAATTATTATTATTATTTTGGTGGGGACTTGTTTGTTGTCTTTTATTTTTATTTTTATTATTTTTTTAATGTCGTGCTATTTGAAGTTTCCTTGGCAATATGCCAATTAAGGATTTCTCAAAAAAGTGAATAACAGTTGGCTTGTGAATCATTAAATAATTCCAATCCCCACTCCCTTGCTGGAATTTTCCCTCCCCCCTCCCATTTTAATATCCATCTTGCCATGCCAGGTGTTGGGTGTACTGAAGGACTTTAAAAAGAAACCAATTGAAAGTACAAATTTCAAATTTTAACAACTGACTGCTTTTTTTTTTTTTTTTTTTTTTTTTTTTTAAAAAACAAACAAGCAAACAAACAAACAAACAAAAAAAAAAAACAGAACTATTTTTACTGCAATGGAACAGCTTCACGTTCAGTCTTTGAGTTAAACATTTTAATTGGGCTGTGGAAATGGAGCTTAGGTATTTTACCCAAGTTAGATCAATGGTTAACGTACAAGTCGAATGAGAAATGTACAATTTGAACTGACCATTTAAAGAGACGATTTGTCACACACAGTTTGCATCCATGCAGACTGAGAGCTTTATAATTACATTATGTACAAAAAAAAAAAAAAAATTTTTTTTTAGTTTATTAAGGCAACCACAACTTGGAGAACATGTCCAAAGTGGCATTAATACAATTGCAGTGGTGATACCCTTTGAACATTTTTATTTTTATTTTCAGGTAAGAACACTTATTCCTTTTCTTTTTTAAGAAATAATTGCCAAGAAATAACCTACTTTCCATAGGGTTTTGTTCTCTATTTTTTTAAAACAATCTACTTCATCTATTTTCTTTAAAAGTACATATCAAGGCATTGCTACCCAATGCAAATAATTTGGAGCCTGGGTTTCCCATCATTTTCCCTGGGAACTGCAGGTGGTAAAAACTGGTAGTTTTGGGCCCTGTTTTCTTACTCTATTTTTTTCTGTTCTACTTTTTTTTTCTTTTCTCTTTTTTATCTTTTTATTTTTATTTTTATTTTTTTTGGTGATTTTGTCCATGTTTACTATAACTCTATTCCCCAGAAGTGTCTTGCTGTTCTCTACTCATATGTACCGAGCATCAAAACAACTTGGTTGATGGATGACCCCTTTTTCACATGCCATTGGAAATGCCAAGTTGCTTCATAGAAATGTGCTATCATAACTGAATATCCATGTACACCTTATTAGAAATGCTGTGATATTCTGTTGTTTCTTGGGATAGCACTCGGAATGAGTGTGTGCGCGTGTAAGGCTCTACTTGTCTATTGCCTATATTGCAGCTAGTTGTAACTAGGCAAGTAAATGAGAAAAAAAATATATATAGTTCTAGCAGGAGTCAGGCATTTGGGGTTATGTTACCCCAAAACCTGGTAGTATATAAAACTGAAAAAAAAAATTCAAACATATTATAACCAAGATCACAGTTGAGAAAATTACACTATTTTTTTTCTTGCCTTTTTTTTCTTTTTTTTCCTTTTTTTTTTCCTTTTTCTTTCTTTTTATTTATTTATTTTTTTAACAGTGATTTCTACTATGGTATGGTTATTCTTAGTTTCACCTGGCCCACCAAACAGAATCTGAGTTGAGCATTCAGCCCTAGTGACAATGCTCAGCTCTCTGCAAGGATGACCTCCCGCCTCCGGGTATGGTGTGAGCACAGCAATGCTGAGATGTTGATTAGTTTTGGAAACTGCAAAGTAGACAATATCCCCAACTTAGAAATCCCCCCCACCCCCCTTATCCCCACCTTTCCATCTCCTCACCCTTTCCCCCCTCTTTCCTGGGGGACTGGGACCGAAGTGATGAAGAGGAAGATGTGATCCCCATCTCTCCATAATAAGTTTTGGCCACCCAAGTGACAAGTCCAGTGCTGCCTTGGGGGCAAAGCAGACTGTATTCCTCCAGTCTGTCAGTCCTGACGTACCCTGCTATCAGCACTTGATGTCCAACAGGGTGTGCTGGCCTTAGGGAAGGCCTTCGCTTTCACTTCCTCTGCCTTTCCGGTGCCGCTTCACTTTCATGTCATCCTCCTCCTCTTGTGGTGATTTGCTCTTCCTTTTCCCAAGCCGGGGTGTCCGGGGCAGAGGGAGAGGGGGCGGCAGTGGCGGAGGAGGAAGAGGAGGAGGTGGTGGTGGTGTTTCTCGAGCCATGTGTATGACAGCCTCAATGGTGGCCATGATTGTGTCTTGAGTGGCTGCTTGCTCCAACAGCAATGGATTCAGTGTTGGCCTCTGACCTCTTTTGCTGGGAAGGTCAATGCATTTCTCCAGAACGGGCATTTGGTCTCTGGAATCTTCATCAAAGGAGAGAGGTTGCTTACGTGGACGGCCCCTCCGCTTCTTGACAAAGTTATTGCCTGTTTTTGATTGTCTCTGCAGCCGCTTGGCTTTCAAGATCTTGTTTACGTGATCCAGGTTCTTCTTTGTGGACAGGATCTTGGTGTAGTTACACATCTTGCGCACCTCACACTGGATTGCTTCAATTTCACGGCGCTTGAACCTTTTTTTCAGCAGTGGACTGGCTGTTAGGAGACAAGGACAGAAACAGGACTAGATCAAGCAAGTGAATGGAAATCCTGCCTTCAGTGTTATGAAGAAGGGGAGCTTTCAAGACTGATAGGGTGAAATATGACTATTGAAGAAGTAGAAGATGTGTGAAATGACTCTGCATAGAAAAGCAATATAAGAATAATATGGATAATTTAGTGTCATCCCAGAATTGCTATTACCTCCCCTTCTACTGTTCCAGATGATAACCTAAGTTTGAGCTGTGCTCAGAGATCTCTCTCTTCACTTCTAAAGCAGCAAAACTTTTCTACAGCAGTGTTATACTGTGAGTTTGATTCAGTCTCCTTCTCTAGTGATGAAAAAAGGGAAAAAAGGGAAAAAAGGGGCTGCTTAATACAAATGTTACATCGGTCCACCATAACTACTGAACTTAATAAACACCAAACATACGCTCCTGATACCTTCATCCTGGTCTTTAATTCTTGCACATCAGATAATATTAAAAAAGTTCGTTACTGAAACTACTGGGCACAGGCAAGTTCAGTGGCTTACTCCACTTGTGTTAAATTCATTAATTCTGCCTGGATTTCTTTACTATCATCTCTGCAGAAACTAGCTGAAACTACACTGTCATCTAATTGACTTTAATGGCCCCTGAAGCAAGTTTGCTCCTTTCTGGTTCTGATCACTTACTTTAGATCTGAATGAAGTCCAAAGCAGCTAAGTCTCTTGCCAAGGTCACATCATGAGTCATTGTCAGAGCTGGAAGAGAGTCCAGCATTTGTTGGCTTCTTGGCCTTTATTTAGGACATAAGATCTTGCTTGTTTTTCCTAAATTATTTCATTGTCCGTTAATGAACATGGTGTCTGTTCAGAGTTCAAGATTTCCGTGTAGATTACAAGTAACTACGTCTTTGTGAGCAAGACAGAATGTATTAATTCTGCTATTACAATAATTGGTTCTCCATTTCACTCCTAACACATCAATTCTGCACTACTGGAAGAGAAATGACAGAGTTCATGATTTCTTTCCAGTAAAGATTAAAACATCCCACTAAATTAACCTCAGCTCATGTCTACTTGCGAACTTAATTTACACCTGACTGTCAAGCAGTCATTTGGCTTTGAAATACTTGAAGTTTCTAGAGCAGCCAAGATTTCAAGAAAGGTTCTTTTGAGGGTTATCACTCTCTTCGTGGTTAACAACATAATCTTCTAGCAGCAGTTTAAAATAAAGTTGCTGGTGTAGCAACTCTGTAGATAATCAGGAGCCATCAAGTGGCAGAATCTTCCCTTGCTCACTATGACAGATTTGGCATACGAGCCTTACTTACTGTCCTCCCCTCTTGGACAACAAAAATATTGGCTCTTACACTACCATGTTGCTTGGATTCAGCAAAGAGCTTGCATAAACAAACACAAGTTACAATGCAAGAAGTAGGAATGAGTCATAAACAAAACACAGACATATGCTCTCTTATAAATAAGGACCTGGATGGCCAACTTCCCAAAGTCTGGTTTTCATTAATTACAAAACAAAATACATTTTCCATATGTAACCCACTCCCCGCACCAAAAAGAAAAATAAAACCCATTTACAGTTTGTGATTCACAGAGGACAAAAGAATAGAGGAATGCAGTCATTTTGGTACGAGACGAAAAAAGAGAAAGGAAAAGAAATGTCCAAATTACTAAGGGGAATCTGATTAGTTGCACAGAATTTCTCTCAAGTAGGTCACCCCTAAAAAGTATGGATGTAAGAACCCTAAAGGCAGCTGGCAGAGAGCTCTTTCTCAGTCACCTGATCAAAAAAGTTAGATTCTGGTCACACAAAACCATAACTCTCAGGGGCTTCACTCATGACTGACATACAAAGTCCCAGTATTTTCAATCCTAAGCATTCAGCTCCTTTGAGTCCCTCCAAAATCCTGCTAGAAGCTTCAGATTAGAATATTGAATAAGTCAAACACTTTGCACACCATTTGCTGTCCACATTTTGCCTTTTATCACTATTGCCATGTTGCCATGCATCACCATTGTCATGAGTCATTTGTGAGACTTTTTGAAAACTCCCATGTTCAAGATGCATTTTTTTTTTTTTCTCAGAAAGTTAATGACATAAATTTTGCAGATGAGAATTTTAGCAAAAATTAAAAGAAAGAAAAAATAAAAAAAAAATTGCAAGGCCAGCAGTAAAGTTAGTAGATTTGGCACTGGTCTCAACTTTAATTGGAAAGACAGCAAGCCAAAGGACAGGAAAGAATTTGAAAAGAAAAATCTGCGCAATTTTATGTCTTTACTGAGATCTATCAGTATCTGTTATTTCTGCAGCCCATTGAAATCAATGATATCTATTTGCCATTTTCAAAATAGGAGTTTACTGCCATTTGACATGACATCCTCCTTATTGCTGGTACTAAATAATATAATATGCACATGTATTCTGATGGTCATACCAGCTCTCTGATGATTATCTTGAGTACTCAAGAAGAAGAGAACACTGAGGCTTAAAGACCTAAGTGGATCTCAAGAGAGATCCACTAGTGTAGGCAGAAACTGAGTGCAGTACTCAGTGTGTCTAGTTCTCCAAATTCAGTTGATATACTAACATGTATGGGTAGATATCTACACATAGGTGTAAATCTGAGAGCTGACGACCCAGTGCCTTCCTTTATTGTGTAGATACTTCCTTGCTCTCCTAAAAATTTATAGACTGACAGACCCTTTCAATTTGGACTGAAACTCAATTTCTCTTGAAATAAGTAAATAAATAAAGAGATAGATAGATAAATACATACATAGATACATAGATACATAGATAAAGTTGTTCTATGCTAGGTTACTGTCTTATTTTTTTATCCTCCTATTTTTTTTTTTTTCCTTGTAAGTGCATTTGGTGCTTTGTAGCCTTTATGATTTTCTCAGGAAGTTTATTAGTAACTACTAACGCTTTTGCTTTTCTCTCTAGCAAGCCTCTGAACTTGCAAGAGTTGTGTTATGTAGTCTGCCAATAGTCAGAATGCATGTCTTGAATAAATAATATCCCTCTAAATCAGGCTTTTAAAGGATGTATTAAGAAAACCAATATTATATTGGCTATTGAGATTCAGGAGCATTTGATTTTAAATTAGAAGAAGGGTGACTATGTGGAAAAGAGTTTGATGGGTCTGCAGGGGGAAGATTTGATGAGGTGTGCTTATGACAAAATTTCAGAGATCTGACAAAATAAGCCACTATTGAAGCGAGAGCCATCAGGTGTTATCAACTCATCTAGAAGCTCGTGGTCAGCAATTCTGATAGAATATATTTTGCTATATTGCCATGTGATATACTGCTTTGCTGAAAACCAAAGGTAAATACTAAGCTTTTCCATTTTATTCAGACAGATCTTTCTCAACCCTGGATTCAAATTTGTCTGCTCTGTTTTCAAGATTTGTTGTTCCATTCTTGCACATGCTTTACTATTTGCATATGGAAACTTTGCTCTGGTTGGAAGAATTTCCCCTATTGCTATCTCAAAAGAGATGAGGAGGAAGTTGGCCAGACTAACAATATGTTTGTACATAGGCACAGGAAGATGGGATGCTTCTAAGAGATGACACAACATGATGGCAACCTCCAGTTGATGGAGGAGACTACAGGACAGAGAGCAGTACAGGAAGGAGAGGAATAAAGAGAGGAGACTTTGCTTCCTGGACAAAGTATTCTATCCACACCTTGCCAGGCTGTAAAGCTATATGTTGCCTCTATGAAGGCCTGAAGCTAGTTGGCACAGTCCTGACCAAAGTGAACAGAGACTGGAAATAGCTGATGCAATGCAATATTGATAAATGAATCTTTCCTTGTATTGTGACTGTTCACACTTGAGGACATCAATCTGCTTACTGTAATCAGGATATTTCCTCCAGACACAGCTACAAGCAGTGACAGCTTGAATTCCACACAGCAAAGAGGTGTTGGAAGAGATACTTTTCCCACCACAGAACCTGCCTGGAGGCTTGCAACAACAGAGAGAAGGAGGACATAACTGGAAAATCCAGTACTGTGGAATAAAAGCAATCAGAGCTGAACAGAAGACAGAACTTGGACATCAGAAAAAGGCTGTCAGGAGATTCTTCTATTTGTCTGCATGGAGGACCTATTATGGGGGATCCTTATTTCTGAAACATCACTAGACAGCAATGGGAGAAGGAAGCAGTTTGGCTTCCCAAAACACAGAAAATTCAGACAAGCACCTGTATTTCTGATCTGCTTTCTGGAAGCTGCTGTCTAAAACTCGCCCCATGCTATTAGAGACACGCGCACTTCAGTTCTCTTTGTCAAGTGCTGATTATGAAAACAAACTGGAAAATTACGCACTACTGGTACACATAGCTGCTGCTTATTTCTACCCAATAAAGCTTTTGTACTTCTCCTCCAGCCCTTCCTTACCATATTAAAAACAAACAAACAAACAAACAAACAAAAAAACCACCTTGCCAAGCTACCTCAAAGTAGAAAGAATTGGTGTTAGTCTTAAAAAATACAGCTTTACACATTTAAAATAAGGAAAACGGAGGTCCTGTATTTGCCATTGGGAGCAGATGCCTTTGTCCCACAGATCAATTAAAGTGGTTGCAGGCCAAGCTGGGAAGTTGAACAGGGTTGATATTACACATGTAACAGCTTTCAAAGCAATAAGAAAAGTCTCTACCAAAAACATATGCTCCCAAGGAAGCTTACAGGGGTCTGAAGAACCCATTCTAGCACAATGGTACAGAACACAGAAGTGAGGCAAGGTGTTTCAGATGCTTTGGAAGTTCTTCACTGCTTCTCAAACTTTATTCTGAATGGCTTTGGTGTGTTTGTGACACTAGGGATCAATCTTACTGCCTGTCATTCTCTACTCTATCCTTTCAGATTTGCCTGGGGCTGCTTGCAAGAACACAGCACAGAGAAAACTGCTCAACAGCTGGGCTCAGTTTTCAACTTGGTTTGAATGGAGAGATTTTCAAGGAGCTCTGCATTAGTTACAGGAAGCCCAAAGCACTGTCCTGTTTTCCCATTAATACAGTTTCTTTCAGTTTTCTCTAAATTTCAACATCTGGGCTACAGATAAACCAACAATTTAATTAGTCCTCTGAAAATCGAGAGAATGAACTATTTCAAGTCTAGCATACATTTTCGTCTTGAAAGTGATCGTAAAATATTTGTGTACTTTCATTCTCTGTTGCATTAAAAATCTCTCCTTAGTTTATATATAGGAAAGTATTAAAAGCTAAACAAAGACTCCTGGTTTTCTTACGTAGAATTATATCCTTTTAGAAGCCACTTTACAACATGGGTCCTTTGTTTTCACTCTTTATTCAGGAAACCAGAGGAAAACAAAAGGAGAGCACTGAAACAGCAATTTCAAATGAATAATTAAGTATGTTATCATTCCATAACTAAGGAATACAGATATAATGTTTGTTCATGTGGATTCAGATATATGACGAGACTAAGAAATTCTCAATGGCTGCATGTAGGATTCAGTATGGCGGGTTCCCCATTCACTATGACATAATTCAAGATCAACTTATCTATCTGTGCTCAAGCATGATGATGATGGAATGACTTGGCTCAACTTCTGACAGTATTAAGCTGTACCACCTTCCAATGTGATTCCAAACAGAAGCACAAAGTATAAATTGATTGAAAAACATGTTACTCTGGCTTATTTATTCCTATGTGCTTTAAATCACTGTTCATTGCCCTAAACAACTTCACATTTTCAAGACAGAATATTATGCTAAAATCACTGAAGTATGCTGAAGAAATCTCAGCTGCTCCTTAGCTATTCACTAGGTATTCGTGCTACACGGATGGGAACATTCAAATAAATGAACAACAGGGCTGAGAAAGAAACCCAGGAGCCTTACTTCAGAGTCCCCTGCTAGACCACAAGTGCTCTTGTTGAATCCTCATTATTGCACAAGTAGTGTTATGTGAATAAAATATATTTGATATGCCAAGATATGATCATGGTAAGAAAGTGTTAAGAAGAATTACTGCCTGATTATCACATTGGATTTGTGCATTTGCAACAACTACTTAAATCAGGGAAAACAGTAAAAAAACCATATTTTTCAATGCAGTGCCAGTAGAAAGAGGGTGGAGGAGATGTAGAAGGGGGTGGAGAGAAGCCACTTTACCTGCTTCAGATGTTGCTGATGAAGAAGGTAGGAGAGATAATACTGGAGTTGGTATTGTAACACTCTCTACAGTTGCTGGTTTCCTTCTGGTCATCACATTACAGGCAGAACTTTCCATTTTACTGTGAAGTGAAGTCTGGTCTGCTTTTAAGTGGGGGCCTACAATTCCTGGGAAAGAAAGCAAAATTTGGATGAACATTTAGGAAGTAATCTGAGTGCAGAATATCTGGAATTGTGTACTTGGTGACAGTCCTTGCCACTCCAGTATATTTTCACATTTCCCTGTAAGTGTCTGATTTCAAGATCTAATTGTGGGTTTGATGCTCAAGAAATCAAAATTTTTGGTAATTTCTAATACTTCTGCCTGAAGGGTTATCATCAGTGATCTCTATAACAATGGCAAACCAACACGGTAATTCCACATTGTTACATATTATTTTGTAAAGATATACCCCCACCTGTACATGTTTAAAAACAGACATGTTTCTTATCTCTTTTCATCGGGATCATCTATTTGTCATTCTCTGTATAGTTTGTTCTCTGCACGTGGTTACATACTTCTGTAGTGACTACTGAATGTGTGCTTCATCTGAATAAAGGCACCAATAATGGCCTCAGCATGTCATTCCCTCTTTAACGCACATCAGACTTTTACCCATTTTTTAGGAATCCTCTTCCTTATAAAATTATACTTTACAACTCATGAAAGAGGTAGGAGTTTAAAAAAAAAGAAAAAGAACTCTTTGCCATACTTTTGTTTGCCAACCAATTCTGATGGCGTATGTAGATTACAACATGAAATGAATTAACTTAGAAATATACAGAGGACTACAGAAAAAATAAAAGCTATGCAAACAGGGCTGTTAAATTTCTACCTTAGCAATCTTCCTCACGCTCTCTCATGACTTTAATTCTTATTACTTTTTTTTTTTTCTTTTCTTTTTTTTTCATGTAAATGTTTCATATTTAAACCACTATTTTTAAAATGTTACGTATTATATCTTCCTGTGTATACATCTGAATGTATGCCTGGCCATTTATATGTAATATCTGTATGAGTTTGCCTATGTGGATATGTACATATACATCTATGAATACATGAATTTACTAAGTGAGAAGTCAGCTAAAATAGCTCAGCATTTTTTACAGAAAAATCAGGAGGTTTTTGTTGATTTTGGTAAACTCCTAGCAGTGGCTGTTTTATAAAGATCCAGTAGTTCTGCTTTCATGAGACTGAAGCAAAGATGAGGATCTTTTGTTGTGTCTTCATTAATTTATGAAGACCTTTCTCAGTATCTGCAATAATGGATTTCAACATATTCAGGACAGCCACTCATTTTTCAAATGTAGCTCTTCTTAAGTAATTTCTTTTTTTCAAATCTTGTACATGTGCCTCAGAGAAAATATGGATTCTGGGAATTAAATTACATGAAGATTCATAAAATCACAGAAGAGCTGATGTTGGAAGAGATTTCTGGAGCTCATCTAATCCAATTCCCTTCTCAAGCACAGTCAGCCAGTTACCAGGACCACGTCCAATTAGATTTTAAATATCTTCAAGGATGGAGGATTCAAAATCTCTTTGGGCAAAGAGAAAAGCACCATCATGCTGATCATGGATGATTTCTCTTCATAAATCTCTGGATTTTTCTGTGTCTGGTCTACTAAAATAATTCCTAACATGATCCTCCTATAGCACAGATATGTTTTCTTTCCTCAGAGGTCTCATCACCTTTGGGTCTCGAAAGACTAGACTTATCAGGAAAGCTCAAGAAGACATTGAATACTTTGTTTTATTCTATGCCACAGGTGTCTCTGCTCCATACAGCACTGTGCCAACGTTTTCCCTAGTCTTTTTTTTTTTTTTTTTTTCCTGCTCCTGTACCTGCTGGACATTCTTTGTCCATCTGCTTCCACCAGATTCAATTCCAGATAGGCTTTGGCTTTCATAAACCCACCTCTGCATGCTTAGATATTTTCTCTATATTTCTCCAGCAGCTCCTCCTTTCTCCTCTATTTTTTTGCTTGCTTTCCATGTCTGACATTAGTTAGTAGCTCTTTGCTCATGCATGCAAGTCTCCTGCTACCTTTGCTTGAACTGATGCTCACTGTTGCGGAACATTTTTGAATTTGGAGAAGGTAAACGAAAATCAACAAGTTCTCCTCAAATTCACTTTTCTCCAGGGCTGTATCCCATGATTCAGTCAGATTTTTCAAAGCAGGCTGCAGTCCTTCTTTTTCCTTTTCTTTTTCCTGTCACACTGAGGTGAACAATAGGCTTCTTCTCAGCAATTAAAAAAGACCTCTTCTCCTTTTTTTCTAATCAAGGGATCTACAGCAAACACTCACACTGTCCACATTAAGTCTGCTTGTGAATACTGACTTGTAAGCTCTCAGCTGGTCCATCACTAATTCTTAGGCAATTCTCCATGACTTTCTACTCCTTTCTATTATCATCCTGAAAACTTTTCTTGTCAGCCTGGTTCATCACTTCCTCACTTGGTTGTGGGTCACCATCTTTTTCCCCTGTCACTTCTAGTTTAAAGTTCTCCTTACCAATTTGGCTAGGCTGTTGGAAAAGATGCTTTATTTCTTTTCATGTGAAACTCTTCTCTTCTTAGTGTTTCTCTAACCTCAAAGAGGATCCTATGGTCATTAAAAAATTAATCCATTTTGTCAGTACCAGCTTCACAATGAGTAGTTAATACACAAAAACTATCCAGCCTTCTTCAAGCCCTTCCATCTCACTTGCAGGATTGAGGAGCAAAACACCTGCATCCTCATGGCCTTGATCACAGCCCTTGGAGGCACTTAGCCAAGATTGACAAACTCCCCAAATCCAAAAATCTAGCAATATTATCAGTCCAAGGACTTCTGAAGCCTTGGATGCCTCTCCACAATGTCACTCATCTAAGTTCCAGGCTATTGGAAAACCACTTGACAGCAGGTCAGGTCAGAAGACTGGGCCGTTCATCTTATGCAGGGGTTAGTGCCCACTGCTCTCCCTAACCACAGCTGGTTAGCATCTGGTAGTTCCTCAAAGAGTTCCTTAAAGATCTTCAAAGAAGTTCTCAGAAGATCAAGATGATTTCCAGGCAGTTTGCTGCCTCTGTTGTCAGTACTCAGCCATTCCAGATATAAACATTTTCTTGCATTCATAGTCGGAGCTGCTATGACAGTTTCTACCTTTGTCCTTGCATGCAAAATGAGAAATAGTCAGGAAACCTACAAGACCCCAGAAATTGTGGAAAAGATCTTTATCAGACTCAGGCAGAGGACTGAACTGGTGAGAGGAGTCTGAAAGATTAGGGGCTACAGAATGAATGAGTCTGGAAGAGGAGTCTAGATTAAAAACCTGCAACTTAATAAAGCAGAATGAGTCCGAAAGCAGAAATATTCAGGGCTGAGACAGAATTGCAGTCAGAGGTTGTGGCTTGGAAGAGATATACTGAGGAGCCTTTGCATATTAGACTGTACATTCTCCCAGAGCCTCAAATTGAGCACTAAGCATCTCAAATTGTATCCATTCAACTTCAATCCCTCTCTGCTCAGCTTCCCTATTACAAATGAGAACAATAATATACCCCTCATCTCAAGAGCAGTGCTGCAAAAATAAAATTATCAACATTCATGAAACATTCATCTATTCATAGCAAGGCTTAGAAATGTGGAATAAATGAGACATGGGGTCACAACTGAATAAGGAGAGGAAAATCAAACTACCAAATAGCTGTTCATTAGGTGAGTGCTATACATTATATAAAGCACTGTTCAACAGAAAGACTGAAATATTTGGCCAGACAATTATGCTTATGTGATCCCAGGACTATGGAACCGTGCGTGTGAAAAGCTAAGGCTTCACCATCCCATAGTGCTTGAGCTTGAGGCTTAACATTACTTTGTCACGAATGTAGATTGTGCACAAGAAAGGCGCTTATGTGTGGGTGTATGTATCAATATGCATTCATATATATGCACGTGCATATAACAGCCTAATAAATTCAGCATCTGGTTCTAATTAAACTGAATGGCCTATATAAAGAGCTGTATGAAAACATGCAGCTGTAACCTGTTAACCTCTATTGATAAAAAAAGGTCTCTGTGAAGCTGTGCTTCAACATATCAAGGGACAGTCATTCATTTTTCAAAGGTAATCCCTCACAAACCACTTATCCTCTCAAATCTCTACCTGCACACAGTGTTTGCATTAGGGACCTTGATTTATGGATTCCCACTCCTTGGATGGAGAGGCCGACTTCCTGTTGCCGTGGTTACTTGGATCTTGGTTCAAGGTTAAACTACTCCCAAATCAAAATCAGTGGCAGGCACAGCATCTAACAGCCAGGTTATTGACTACCTTAGGATGCTTAAAGGTCAAAGACCAAAGTGCTGCTTACTGCCTTTGGAGTGAGTCAATATTTTCAATATTTTTATTCTGTTTCTTTTGAAGAAGTAGTTGCTGCTCAATTACCACCTACTTGGGTTTAGCAAGGTCATACAAATCATTGAGAAAAAAATCCTCCCCCTGAAGAAGAGGTACAAATGTAATGAATTACTTCAAAGTCTATGTGGCCCAATTGCAGCTCATCACTGGTGAATCATGGGTTTGGCCATCTGTCTTTTGTTTTATACAGTTGGTTTCTTGAGCCTGTATCACTCACCTCACTGAATTTTGCCTCTGAATTGAGGAACAGGAATAACTTTTGGATTTGAAACACACAATAAGGAAGAATCATTGGGTTCCTGTCCCAGATACCAAAATGATAACTGAGAATTGGAGGCACCGCTGGAAAGCTATGGAGTTGTAACTATTTTCTCACAAGGCTGATTCACACTGCTGTGGTAGGATGTTTACCCTTCAGTCAAACTGACCCATTGGTGTGGAATCACCACCCTTCATTTGACTACTGTTATTCATTTGGGATTCTCTATTTAGGAAATGTGAAATAAGAGATCACCCTAGTTCAGCACATATTTGAATAAAGTAAAAATAAATAGTTCATAACACAGTGAAAGGGGGCATATTAAAATTCGTGCTCTACCACGACTCAAGTGCTATTTCATCTTTTTTTTTTTCTGCTCCAGACAGAGAGAAAGATGATGTGTACTGGTGACCTGTTTCAGACCCTTTTTTACCACTTTCCAGTTGATCTTTGTTTATTTCCTCC